GCCCCATGTATGTTTGGCTTACTCATGAAGACGAGGCATACAATTTACTTAGTTCGCTAGTTGATGGCTATAATCAACGTTTTACTGCAGGCCCCAGACTTATATCTGCAGCTCGATATCGGTCTTCTATGCCGTAAGCTCTGCAGTTTCGTGGCCTGTCTCCATCCCCTCCTTAGCTTGCCCACTCCTCCTCTGCGACGAGTCACCAGTGTAGGAATGCACTCGTCTATCAACGTGGCCTTATCCATGCCAAGGATGCAACAACCCAGGATGCGCAGAGCCCCCAACGGTCGGACATTGTGTGTGCAATAGATGGAGAGGGCGCGACGGGTCAACGAGAGTACAACACGACAGCGAATCCTTCCGTTATAACATAGAGCCATAAACTGTCACCGTATGGGAAGCTAGGGAAACGGTGAAGCACGCATCATCCGCGGGTATCATCTGCAGATAAGCCTCCCCCGCTTCTCCCCTCGCACTGCTTTTGACAGTAAGTTATACAAAATCGAATGAATTTGCCCCTGAGCGCGGGTAGATTCATTCCACACTCATATCCCAACCTACCACTTCCTGGACGCAACTCTGAACTACCGTACCGCCTATCCTACTAACCTTTTGCTAATACTAACTCCTAAATTGAATTCGCCCAACCAAAGCGCTTCATCCTTACCTTTTATTTTACTCGTGTTCGCACTGAAATGAGTGAAAACTCTACCTTCCGAACCCGGCCATACCTGCTTCCTGATAGCCTTCCCGCAACTTCTATTCTTACTAACACTAAATTTACTCCACTAATCCCAAAACTAACCATGCCATTGAAATCGCCCTATCTAAAAACCTTTGTCTCGAACTTTACCCCAGTCGATTCCATCAGGAATCGAGCGATATCTTGACTCCTCTTCTCACTTCTTTCCCCTTCCCGCCATGTCTCTTCGCATCTCCCCTCCTCCTTCCTTCACTTTCTAATCTCCCTTCCACCATTCTGACCTTAGTAACAGGTCCTAGGCCAGAACCCCCAATTTGTCTTTTTCCCCGCCCGTTTTCATCAAGGATCGGGGTGGGTTTGCATCTTCTTCTTCTGCCCATAGTCGTTTCCGCCATAGCCTGCTCGCTATCTACATGTACTCACCGCACTTTTCCGTCCGGATTCATCCGCCGTTCCTACCACTTTGTCAACCTTTCTCTCTTTCCCCTCATGTCCTCGTGTCCTCGTCGACCCGACAATATTCGAAGCAACTCGGCGTGCCCGTCCGCTCTGCTGCCTGCCTTTCTTGCCGCCTCCTACTTCGAAAGTACCTAGCCCTGCTTCGCGCCAGATGCATCATTCTCTTTCCCACTTCCGACCTCGCAATCTTCCGACCTCCTTTACTGTGCTCCCGATACTGCTAGCGCTACTCCAGGTAGCGCCCCGCCTGGTCCGACTGCCCGTTGTTCGTAGCTATCCCACACAGAAGCTTTGAAGAAGTCTACCGCTGGACGATTCGTTTAGCCCGCCGCCCCTATACCCAAGACCACCCGACGAGATTTTTACTCGGCAGTATAGTCGCCGACCCTTCCAACATACTTCCTCTGGCTCTGCTTTACCCGAGCAGAGTCCCCCACCTTCTCGGGCCCCCAACCGGGGTACTCACGCTCAATCCTTCTCCCAATAGGTCGCAGTGTCGGGGGTTCGGGTCTACCCGTAATGTGCCCCGGGTTGAGCGGCCCCCAGTGCAATTTTTAGCTGTCACAATAAATATTCCAACGTTTGTAACCGGCGGCTGCTGCAACCTCCCCACAGCGCCTCGGACCACTTTGCCCGAGCGCTGTCCACCGATTTTGAGTTCCAACGAGCATGTTCGCACTCAACCCTTTCGCAACAGACTTGCCGCTGGTGGGCGGTACGTCCGCTAAGGCCTCACGCCACTCAAGTCTTCTCTCGCCTCGCGGCTAATCACCCGTCGGCTCGTATACACACTGAACTCCTCGGCCTGTATTTCAAGACGGGCGAGGTCGAGGAATCTTGTCGGCATCTCGAATTTGCAGGAACCCGCCAGTCAAACATAGGAACTGCTCGCTCAAGGTCCTTGGCTGTCATGACGACCTCTAACTCCGGTGCCACGCCCGAGTCAAGGGACGCCGGAGCATAAAGAAATAAAATGCATAAAGTAATAGAATACTCTAAAAAATTTTAATCGTCGAATGAGAAAAAGGAGAACCGCTAGTACCGTTTTGATGCTACCGATGGCAACCCCAAGGGGGATAGCCCTGTCGAACCCTCAACCCCTCGGTCTCTTCGCGCTACTTGGATATCCCCGCATCGTTGCCACTCGACCTTGATCCCAGAATCTGTTCGATGAAAGTCCGAAGTTGTGACCAAATAATACCAGGCCAAGGCTGGGTTTAATATTGACGGACACAAAAATATGTGGACACTACGAGACGCGTAGATCTGCCGAAACGTTTTCAGAAATCACGTTGTTGTCGACGCCGTCCTCCGTTCGTAAGCACAGGTCACAGGCAGGCGCACCATTCAAAAGACAAAATCTTTTTAATCGTAGTTCAATCAAAAATAAAGTCTAGCCGGCGATCACGCTGGTTCTTTAATCATCAACAATAAAAATCACGTGCGCCTCAAGCCTGCGCGCCCACACACTCTCTACTCCAGTCAACCATCCAGTCAATGTAAACGACAGACATTGCTGCGACTCGCGCAGTATACTCAAGATTTTTAAACTGCTTACTTCTTGTCAGTTGCAAAAACCAGGGCAGATACCCTTGTAAGGGTTTTCGCACCGACAGCGCCCGCCTGCAGCAGCAGGAATTTCAAGGGAGGCATCCAGGACCTTTGAAAGTTGAGCACTTTTTTTAGAGTGCACCTGACAGCTCAAGAACCCAGATTCCAGACCTGGCGTCTAGAGTAAGTGGAGCGGACAACGCATGCTGGCCGTGCCGTGTAGCTCTCTCAAAAAGCGGTCTGACATCCGAGAGGCCTTGTCGAGTTCGACCGTTTAGAGTAAGTGGAGCCATGTTGGCTTTTTCAGTCGTTTCTAAAGTTTGACAGCTCTAGATTCACTCTCGAAAATCTTTGAGAGTCTGGAGTAGTGGAGCGAGACCCCTGAGCTCTTATAATCGGCTCTAAACAGTCGGTCTGGAACCAGGTAACGCGGACAAACCCCCGTCACGTCACACGTGCACCGTGTATCTGTCCTCGCCTCGTATCTGACCTTGTACTCGCAGCCCGTCACAGAGCCCATGTGGCTGAATGGTGCACACATGTAAGTGTTAGCAAACAGCTCATGAGCTCGAATCCCGCTACGGAGAGCTGATGATTAGAATACAATGATGAATACAATAAGAACCTACCTAGTTCCAACAATGATGAACTCACCCTTCGCCAACATTGTGAAAAAAAGAATAAAAATCATTGTCTGAATGAATATGAACCTGAAGTCTGTCCTGACGCGTTCAAAATGTTGGTGGCCGGCCAGTCCTGCACCTAGCTCCGAAAATGTCAAATCCTCGAACAACTACCAAACAAAAGGCTCCTCCGATTAGGCTCTCGTTTGTTTTGTTTATTCCCTTGCCTCTTTGCCCCGACACCTCACCGTGACCATCTCATCAGTGCTGGACTTGAACTCAGGAACCCGTTTGTGCGTAGTGTTCAGCCACACGGGCTGGGTACCGCCGCCCACTTTTTCCCTTTTGGCCTCTTTCTGGGTGGCCAAGTAGAGAGCTGTGTAGCGAGACCCTTTTGGGGCTCGCCGCACCACCGCTTACCAAATGTGCAAAACGAGAATGCGGGCCTCGCCACACCACTGTCGAAATGCGAAAAAGACAAAAAATTGGCAGGCGCATCTGGCCATGTTCTATCGGGAGGTTCATTCTAATTTGCACATTTCGAGAGTGGTGTGGCGACGCCCTGAGCGGCGAGGCCTTGCGCTAGGATACCGAATGTGAGTAGTGCGGCGAGGCCCTCTGTTTCGTTTCGGATCAATGGGATCATGGGGTTCATCCTTCGCTTTTTCTTTTCATGGGACTGATGATAGTGGGCCTCGCTCCACTACTCTCGAAATGTGCAGAACGAGAGTGAATTTTCCCCTAGAACGTGAAAAGGTACACGTGTCTTTTGTGCATGTCGAGAGTAGTGAAGCGTGTTGTGCATGTCGAGAGTAGTGAAGCGTGGCCCAGTATCTGCATTCGAACCCGGCCCTAGCTTTCAGCATTTTTTTATTTTTTTTTTATAACCTTTTTATATATTTCGAACTGAAAAGAAAGAGGCCGGGGACCTCACAACTCAACCCGGAGTTATCCCGGCAGCATCAGCCGGTTTAGCTTATAGGGACCTGCCAAAGCCGCAGATGCACAACTCAATAAGTTCCTCTCAAACCTTCTTTCTATAGAGACCTGCCAAAGCATCAGCGTCGTTTTTTTTTTTTTTGAGAACATAGTAGTCATATATTGCTCTGAAAAGGTTGAGGCCGGGGACCTCACAATTCTACCCGGAAAAACATACCGGGGCCCCGCTCACTAGCTTTCAGCATTTCGACGGTGTATCAACATTTCGAGCTACCATACAGGCCGTTGGTATCCGTCGCTTTTTTTGGCCCGCGCTTGCTTTGGCCGTTGGTATCCGTCGCTTTTTTTGGCCCGCGCTTGCTTTCGGTGAAAACATACCGGGGCCCCGCTCCACTACTCTCAACATGCAGAAAAGACAAAAAATATGGCGACGACGTATCTTCCCAGGTTTTAGCGGAGTATTCGGTCTCATTTGGCACATTTCGAGCGAGAGCAGTGGAGCGAGGCCCATCGTGTGAATTCAAAGCCCGCCGCGTCGGAGCGATCGCGCTACGGCGGTAGACGACACAGCGGGCTTTTGGTTTGGTTGGCTGGTGCTTCGCTTCGTCACGAGACGGCACTCGGCGCCAAAGTTAAACAAACGAAGGAGAAAAGACGAATTTGTCGCCCACGAATTTGTCGCCCAGGTAACACCGGCCGAGGTAGGCGCAGTACGGTAGTATAAAGTATGCTTGTTGCCCCTGACGCCACCTTGCCGCTGCTGCTGCTGCCATATCTGCGGGCTGCTGGAAAAGGGCGTTGGCTAAGGTGTCGAGGAAACTCTTGAAGGCGGCAAGGAGGAGAAGGTGTGAGTGGGAGGGAGGTGGGGGGCGCGGATTGCCGAGAGTGTGAGCAGGAAAAGAGAGGAGGAAACCGACGACAACCAGCCATGGACGCTCTCGCCTCGACGTGTGTTGCAGCGTCGTCTGTACCTTGCACGGGCATCGCCCACGCGAAAGGGGAATACAGCAGCTGCAAAGCTCAGGGAAGCGCCAGCGGCAAGCTCGGGAATGGCGCGGCCGTGTTGTGCAGAAAGGCGGCATGGGCGACGCGGCAAGCGCCGTCGCGGATGAGCGCGCTGCAATTGAATGCCTTGAGGGAGCGATTGGCTGAGAGCGATGGCGGTTGCGCCGCCGGCGCACATAGGCGAGGATGCGCGAGGGTCGTCGCGCAGGTTACCAGCGACACAGCGCAAGTGGCTTCCGACGGGTCGAAGCTCACCGAGATGTCAGGCATGGCCGCCTCTCCTTTTTTCCCCTTTGCCCTTTCCCCTTTCCCTGGCCAAAACATGTACTATGTCATCCCTCACTGCCCGTCGTTCTCATCTGGTGCAGGTGAAATAGGGAATGGACCTTATCTGTACTCTAGCAATTTCCAGGCTTGTGCCGCTCTGAGCGCCGCCATACCGTAGTCGAGAGATCAGGCAGGCATCGCGCAGGGATTGTATAAGTGTGCGTAAGCACTCACGTCGTGGTTCACAGGCGTAGGCACTCGTTGTTGCGGCGATGCCATCTTAATCGAGCGGTCACAGTTTTGAAAGGCAGATGCGGTGCGCGGCACGTCCACGTGGCGAGCGAATAGACACTTCGAGGTAGATTCGAACACACACACACACACACACACAGAGAGAGAGAGAGAGAGGGAGAGAGAGAGAGAGAGAGAGAGAGAGAGAGAGAGAGAGAGAGAGAGAAGAGAGAGCCAGCATGACAGACACTTAGGGCATATGTACGCTAACGACCTTCTTTGATGAATCTGACCAAGGACTTGCGGGCAGATCCGTCGTCAAAACTGCTCTTGTGACTATGCCCTTAACCCGTGAGGAATCACTGCATCTCCTGGTAATCGATGCCCTCAGCCGGAACTGAGAAGAAAACGAGACAGAGAAGAGTAGCGTGGCCGCTGCGCAAAGATGATTCGAGGTAGGGGAAAGAAAGGTAAAAGGGGATTACAGCTGTGCACTGACAGAGAGACTACTTACATTTCAGAAGATGGACAACCGGAATTGCACGTGCATTAGACTCGGGATCAACGTCGGGGAAAGCGAAGGCACGGACGCTTGCTTTTGGACGCCGGACTGACAAAACTCGCATGCGCTCTTAGTGATGGGGGCTCATGATTTTGGCTATGTGCTTGGGCGTGTATTCCTCTGCATTTGTTTTTCCCTGTCGTTCGGCTCCTGCGGGCTGTGTCCAGAACAGGATCAGAGGGACTCTCAGCGCTCGTGCAACCTTTGACAGGTCGATCGATACATCAGTTTGTTAGAAAGACTGAACGATAGATCGGTAGATCTCCTGATCGCGTATGCCTGCGTGTGTGTGTGTGTGTGTGTGTGTGTGTGTGTGTGTGTGTGTGTGTGTGTGTGTGTGTGTGTCTGTGTGTGTGT